TTAGGTTTGATGCTGTGGTGATATTTGTGTTATTCTGAACTGGATGCATTTACTTCAACTGGAAATAACATCTGATCCTGAGTCGAGTGGCTGAGTAGAGTCTGTTCATCTGTAGCTTCAGTTCTTTGCATGTTGTTAAAGCTGTAACCTGTAGAATTGATGATTTATTGACATGATTTAAAATCGACTTCCAACAGGTTTTTGTTTTACATCAATGGGTTCCCAAGTCGTCTGATGAGAAGGATTTACTACTTCAACGTTGGTTCTCCATCGTAGAGTTCACTGCATTCCTCACAGCTAAGGATGGCATAAAACGAATTGCTCACCTATGTGTGGAATGTGAACTTTGAGGAGTTCCAGAGTGTGGATTTGGAGTTTGGATGGAAACCTTGCTGTGTTTTTTCAGAAACTGCACACACGCATGCAGCACATGGCGTAATTTAATGTTTTTGAAAAAAAAAAAAAAGGGAGCACAGCCAGAGCATCCTAACGAGGATGAAGCTTTTCAGACAAACACATTATTGTTTCTGCCAGTGAACGTCCTGCCAACGTTTTCATGCTACTGAATGGGTATCAGGGGGCTGTGATGCTTGACTGCCGTGACTCATCTCACCTGATATTCACTACAGAAGTGTCGGGGGTTCAACGGAGGTTAATGGCTCCTTCTATTTCCTTGAAACATGATGCAAATTACAGAATAGCGTTTTATTCTTTCCTGGAATACATCCCATCAACAAAAACAACACACGCATACGAGGCGGAGAAGACAAGTTCTTTGTAACCAGATATTGTGTTTTTACAAAATAGAACCTGCGTCCGAGGTCCATTCAGTGTATTTTGTACTTTTTCGCCCCCAATTTACTGATAACAACCACGGGCTTATCATCTCAAAACACCAGTATTTGCCCATGAGTCCCAGCTTTAAAAAAAAAAAATGAAAGCAGCTTAGTGGGAGTCTGCACACTACAAACGCCCAAAGCTTTTTTACAGGCTTATAGAAGAAGAATACGTCGCAGAAAACCACCAAGCAATGGATTCAGTGCATTCAATACATTCATGAATGCATTTGATTTTCCCTAAAGGCAGTGTGGCTTTCTATAACAATACCACGAGGTGCTTCTATGTGACAGTGTTGCTGTTTCATGACCACAGGGCCCTCCGAGAATCAAGAATGCATCTCGAGGAGTCAAGAGAAGACGAAGTACCAGTGGGAGATGAAGCGTCTCTCTGAGTGATGTCTCCTCCTCTCAGCTGTGAGCAGCTGTGTTTACTGATCACTGTCAGGGAAAATCCCATCAAGAACAAAGATCGGTGACTGTTAGAAATCACCCTCCCTGTGCGCATTTGTCATATCCCCGAAATATGCAACATAACATTAGTGCACTCCAGTGGCCAAGCGTGCAACTGCAAGTAATGCAATTGTAAGGTGAAGTGGTTTGATTTATTGAGGAAATTTTAAACCGACCTGTTAGAGAGGAATGACATCATCTACTTTTAGTTTAATTACATATTTAATCGTCCAATTAAAATACGAACTCATGGACATGGCCAAAACAATCTATTGGACTTAAAGTTGGTTTGACAGTTAGAAAAGCTGTTTCTCTTCTTCTTCACTTAAATTGTCAAATCGTGGAAAATTGAATAAAAAATGAATTTATTTAACATTTACTTGAGAGTCAAATTATATTCTAACTATCTTATAGTTTAGATATTTATTTTTGCCAAAGTAGTACTGTAGTACTAGCAGTGCTTCGTCAATTTGCATTCCTGTACAACAGGTGGCGATGTCTGCCCTAACAGTGTAGGAAATCATACAGTGGTGTTGAGGAAAATAGCACAGAACAAGAGCAATGAAAACAGGAAACGTCTTTTCGTTTTTATTTATTAGTTCGAAACATTGCTAATCTATAACGCAGCAGTAGCATGTAGCGAACTGACGCTAGCCTGAAAATGTAGAACCACATATCCGACAGAACCAGACAAAAATGTCGCAGGAAATAACAACAATAATCCGGGGCTTGGTCTAATATGGTAAAGGAGTTGAAACGAAGTGGTGCTGGGTGACATTCAACAATGCTGTTTCAAAATGGATGTAATCTCGCTCAGCTCAGACGACTCTGATGTGGAGTTCGTGTGCGGCATCCCAGAGGTGAAGCCGCCGCTGCTCACCTCTGATGGGACTGGCGTATGTGACGTCAGTAACCGTCACCCACCGGTAAGTGCCATAAAACGTTGAAATATTCACCACGTAAAACAAAATTCGAGAAGTTACCCTTACTATTTTTATAGCATAGGTATTGCAGTTATTGTTTCTATCAGGTTCTTGGTTAAAATTGATGGTTTTTGTTGATAGAAAAGCTATGTTGCATTTTTTCCCCATTTTGGAGCACCTGAAAAAGATAACTTCATCCAAAACGTGTTTTATTATTTGAGTGTTTAACGGTAAATGCAACACATACTAGTGTGAGCATCATAGACTAACATTAGGTTGTTTGTTTTTTGTCTTATCCTATAAGCTTATCTTGTAAGATAAGACAAAGAAGTATTAAAGAACAAGAACTGCTTTTTTGGCTTTAAGCCATCATCGTCTGAACCAAAGCGCTGATGAAAGCTGAAGGCCTGTTAATCATTGCTTAAAAAGCAATATATTAAGCTGACAATTTTTTGTGACTCTCCCTTTTTCTAGCGGTTTAATAACCACAAAAACTCCAGAAGGACTTTTCCGCGGGTGAGAGCCTCTATTACACCTCCAACCTCTTCTTGGACTTTAACAGACCTAACTGAATGTAACCTGGGACAGTATGTGACAGAACCGGAGGAGATGGCTGAGCCTGTAACACCAAGTGATGTTCCCGTGGAAACAAATTCACACAGAACTAAAACATTACACAAACATGGAAAACAGAAAAGCTCTTCAGCAGACACAAGTGCCCTTGATTTACAGCAGGACTGTGGAAACACAAAGACAAAACTTAAATGTTCTCAAACACAAAATCGCAACTGTGATCTCACTCCGGTTGTAAGATTGAAACAACTGTCATGTCATGAAAAGCATGTCACAGAACTGGAATCATCTTTGTGCTCTATTAATATTACAAAACCAGACCTAAACACTGAATGCATTAGCAACAGT